TGCACGAAATTCTTTGTATGCCTTTTCCCCAACAGCTTTTGCGCCCAACAAGTCTTCCTCTATCTTTTGGGTGGCAACCTTTCCGGTTGATAAGCATACCAGATCCCGCTGTTCAGCACTGAATGGGTTTATCCAGTTGCTTTCTAGCATAGCAATCAGCGACTTCACGTCTGCCTCGTCTCTTACAATTCTTGTTTTTTGAAGATCAGTATCCCCAGAATTGGATTTGCTTAGATTTAGCATGTGCCTCAGCTGCCTCAAAAAAATACTGCGAAATTCAGACACTATATAATATTTGCTAACTGCTCCTGCTTTAAGACTGAAGCCTTTGGTGCCCCCGGCTGTCTGGGTGTCCTTATTGACCGTCTCCTCGCATGTTTGATCAACTGGAACCCTGCCAAAGGGGTTTTGGTCGCCGATCTGGACCGAGAATCCAGACTTAAGAAATTCATGAGCCTCAGGATGGGTCTCTTCGAGGTGGGTCACCTCAGACAGGTATGCAGGTAAATAGCGGGCATAATTTACGTTATCATAGGCAAAGCACCATGGTATCATTTGTTCAATGGCTGATAAATGTAGCTCCTAATGTCCTTCTCTTGATGCTCTCACCATATTCAGCAGAATGTCAACGAGATCAATGTATGACATCCAGAAACTAGATAGTTTTCCGTTGTTATTGCGTAGATAGTAAAGGTACATATCGTACAGTGTGATAAACTCTGGGAAACTTTGACTATCCAGCACCCTCTGTTGTTCCTTTTGGCACAGGTTGTCGTATAAATGTTTCAATCCGGCAAAGAAATCTTGGATAAACTGTTTCTTCTCGGGGAACTTTACTTCTACCCGTGTCTGAAATCCTTTCCAGATAAGTTTTTGTGGAGTGCTTCATACATCAGTTTATGAAACCTGACAGCACGGTTGTATCTACGTCCTTCAAGAACTGCTGTCACAGAACCTTCAGCAATTACCCCTGATTCAATGAAAACGTCCCTTAAACCAGCGTCTTGGAATCTCTTCCAGATTATGGAAAGAAGTGTGCACTCTGTATGGAAGACACCCATCCGAATAACAATAGTGAGCTTAAGATCCGACGACGGCGAAATTCTACGACGGCAGACTTGGTCGAGGGGGTTTGGGGTGAGGTCGCCGTCGCAATGGCGCGAAAAATAGCATTAAGAGAGCTCGCTCAACGGCGGGTTGTCGTAACGCCTTTTCCTGATGAAGTTTAGAAATAAATACAAGAGTGATGACTAATTTTAGAAAGGTTCGTGAATTGTTACTGACAAGTTTCGATGATGACAACATTTCAGAAGATGAATTTTTACTGTTGTATGATGTCAACAGATCTAAAAATCCGGATTTTCCCTACCAGAATTACGAACATTTTGACCCCGAGAGGCTTGACGAAAAGATGAGTGACATAATCCATTGGACCTCAATTTAATGCCAAAACAAGTCTACGATATCATAATTGTTAATAAACACAGCAATAAACACAAGAAAAAACTTGTAAACCTTACTGGGTTGCTTTCTTTGTCGAGTTGACCGAGTCCATGGCGATTAACGAGTCAAACTGTTTAGAGAGGGCAAACAAATTTAATTTAAATACCGTGTTCAAATCGTTTAAGTCGCTTAGAAATTCAACAAGAATGGTCTACTGAGAATAAACTGTCACCAGTACTAAAGAATTTCGCTCAAAATGTGTTTAAATGGCATTATTTTGATCAAGTTTACTCACGTTTTACACGCGACGGCAAAATGGCCTTCTTCACGTCACAGACAAAGCCGCTACGGCGGGAAACTTTGCAACGACGGCAGCCGGAAGTCTTTCTAGCAGTAATTTCACTTCCGCTCGCCGTCACAGACGTCTGCCGTCGTCGGATCTTAAGCAGGCTAATA